CAAAGTGATAACACTTCATAAGATCAGTGACTTCCCACAAACTGTTCTGTATATCCTAATCAAGGCCTTTCAATGCTCCACAGGCAAAACTGGTCTGCAAAGTGAAATGGTGCAAATATTTTCTCCAAATCAGAACTAGTTTGAAAAGCAGCAGAGTACAATTTTTCTTTTGAGCAGGACGTTTATCACAGCTGGCATCGGAGCAAATTATTGCAATGTTAGCGTACAAAATTGATGATCAATGGAAGTGGTACTTTAAAGATTGACCTTTTTTCTGAGCAAACATGAATAAAATAATTCAAAAGTTTTCGTAGAATACAGAGATTATGATAAATTTGTTCTTTTTTCTTTCCCTACCTACTTGACAAATTTCTTAGGCGCTCATCTTACGACCACGAAATCAGAATTGCATCTAGTGTCAAGCATATTAAATTCAGGGAAGTAGTCTGTAATGAGAATCTCACCGCAAGCCAGCTTTCAATTATTACTTTTGTCCTAGCATCTACCTTCTAGGTCCTTCAACATTCACGGGTGAAGACACTGCTGAACTTTATGTTCATGGCAGTCGAGCTGTAGCGGATGCTTTGTCAGAACGCTTGGCTGGTTTTGAAGGTGTACGACAAGCCACTAGGGGAGAATTCACCAAAAGGTGTCACACTAACGTATATGGACGTAAGCTGATCTGAATTTTCTGATATTTAGAGCTTTCTTCAATGGAAAAATGGACTTTCACGAGGTTCACGGTTTGAAAAATCTCATTTACGCAGAAACCCAACGTCAAAGGCAAATGTCATACGGACAGATGAGGGGAGGAGCGGAAGCTCGGCGGATACGGTACCTTGCACTTGTTCTATTCAAGCTTGAAGCCTTCTGTAAATTCAAGCTGGAATTTGGTCAAAAAATGGCAGACTAAAAACTTCAACCAAAAAGAGTTGTGGCATTCTTTTTAGTTTGCTTTCAATATGGAAAAGATTTTTTCTTTAAATTGAATTGTCAGAACATCTACAGGGACTTGCTACAAGATGCTGTTATGAGAGCATTTGTGTTGATGGATTTTGGCGAACACGTTTCTGTTAGCATCGAAGAAATACAGTAGGTCTATTATCTCGAATGGCTAACATACTGGCTGTTCTTTTTCAAACGATCTATTTTGAGCTATCCTAAAATTGTTTTTTTTTTTGCAGAGATCTCATCAAGCCAATTCTCGAAGAGGTCATCCGTCTAGAAAATCGGGCAAAAGGTGCCGAAATTGTGCACAGAGGTCTTAGGGTAGTCATATTGGGTCGACCAAATACGGGAAAAAGCAGTCTGATGAATGCTTTAGGTAAGAGAGTTGCGTACTCTAGGAGCTTTTATTTCGTGAAGAAAAAAAAACCATAGGGCAATTTTTGTC